AAATAAAATACGTTAAATATATATAAATTTATTTAATTTATTAGTGTTGATTTTTCGAATTTTATACGTATTATTTTGAATTAACGTTTTGTTGATTGGACATCACCAACTTCAATTAAATCTAATGAGAAATTAAATAAGACATTTTCTTTAAGCACTTTAGAATTTTAAATTTTAATTAACAATTGCTAAATTAAAAAAAAGAACACAATTTGTTTTATTCATCATAAATTTAATAGAAAAGATTGATTTCTTTTTTAAAAAAATCTATTATCATTCAGTCTAGCTATAATCTTAGATTATAAAATATTTTTTTATTTAAAAAAATATATATTCAAAAACTCTCTGAAATTCCTTTTTATAAACTAGAAAGAATTTGAATTTATATAAAACGGGTTTTGCTTGGAGGAAATGGTTTTGTGAGCAAATATTGACCTGCGAATACGTTTCCTTAAACAAACTACTGAGAGTAAGAAAATTCTGTTTATGCAGGCACTTCTAGGAATCTTAGTTTACACATTGATACGTCTTTCCTGTTTATTATATTATATATGTATAATATTATAAATATATATTTAAACTACATTAACAAATAATATAAAATATATTGCATTTATTTATCTATGAGAAAATAAGGTTATGAAATTTAAAATTTTAAATCAATCAATTAAATGAAGTTATTCATAAAGGTATTGTAAAATTAAAATTAGACTGTAATTATTTATTTAAATTAATTATATTTTATAAATTATAGTGAAAATATTATTTAAAATATATAAAAATTTGAATTTGGAGTAAGATATGTAACTTACTAACAACAGATCAAAGGAAGAGGTGGAAAAAAAATGATAGAATTCTCATTATTTCCTATATCTTTTGCACGTACAGTACATTAACGAGAGAAAAACATTCAAAGAGGGTTGAAGTACCGCAATATCATAAATATCTGAGAAAATTGTCAACATTAAGTGGCAATTTTCCACTTCTCTAGGGAAAATATTCGTATAGTCGATGGGATTAACGTTCCAGAAAGGATTAACGTGATTATGATTACGTCTTTAGTGATACTTAAAAGATAAAAATGACTTTAATGTTTTTAAGAAATGCTTCAAAAAGAAATAGTAAATATTTATTAAATTGTAAATCAATAATAATCGAATATATCTTATATAATTGCTTATACAAACCTATCAAAATTATTTTCTACTTCGTTTATTTATTTGCAATGAATAGATTTTTATTCTAATATTTAAATATGTTTTTTAAATATAAGAAAACATTAAGTTGGCAATTTTGAATTTTATTATAATTTAAGAATTTATTCAAAATAAATTTAATTTGACGATTTAAAATAATAATAAAATTTCAAAGATTCTTTATTTGCTATAGCTTTACACACATACAACTTTATTAAATCTTTAATAAATTATATATATATATAAATTACAAATCTGAAAATAATAATAAAACTTTATTTAGATAAAGAAGAAAAATTGTTAATGTTTTAATTCTCAAAAGACTAAAACTGATTTAAGAATTAATATAGTTAAAATTGGAGACAGCTCACTCTTAATGAAGATCTTTGTAATTGCTTGTATTTTATGCAACTTCAGATATAAATGAATAAAAAAACTAATTAATTAAATATTGTAAATTAATTAAAATTTTGAAAGCTTTAAAAAAGAAAATCTTTTTTTTTTCATGAAGAAAAAACTATTTTTCAACTTAACAATTTATAATTGATTAGAAACTAGATTTATTCGAAAGTAGATTACTTTAAAATTTGAATACTTTGATGCTTCTTTGCACTAAATTAATGAATATTAAAATGTTTAATACAAGACATAAATAAAAGAAAAATTTTTTAAATTTAATTATTATTTTTTCTTAATCGTAACCTTATACATTTTCCTATATAATTTCGCTTAAAATTAATAAAGTATATAAACTTAAACATATTGAAAATTTATTGATTATAGAATTTCTGGCATTTAGAAGGCATTTGATTTATCTAGAGACAACTACTTTGTATATCTTTCGAAATAAATCCTATGTTATTTTATTATATTATCCTTCTTCCTAAATCTGATCTGAACAATGTGAAAATAAGATTTATACGAGATTTACTAGACCAAAAAAATGTATGAAACATCATACATTGATATGTGAGTTTGATAATGGTAAACTCCTTTGTCCATTCTATATTTTTTTTACAATATTTATCGCTTCCGAAATACACTTTTGAGCATTTCAACAATCTGAAACTTCTCAGAAAAGGATTCTATGTGAAATAATAGAATCTGACTCTTCCTATGTCAGTATAATGGAGTTTGTTTTACCCTAAGGATATCAAATATATATTTTTTCTTTATACAGATATAGTTAAACTGGTTCAGAACTTGAGACGTGTGAGAATGTTTTTTAATTCTTTTATAGCAAAAAAAAAACTATATTTTTCATTTATTTTCTTCTGTATTTTATCGTCTTTTGTAAAACTACGAAATAACACTATAGCTAACGGATGTAAGTAAAAGTGATTTTGTATTCTATTTATGTTCCAGGTATTAAATTTTAACGTAAATAAAGTTTTTGATATTCATGGATAGAAGAAAGTTTAGATTCAGCAACGAAAGAATAATAATAATAATAATAAAACTTTTAGTATATAAATATAATTTTTTTTTTTTGTATAAAGTTTTCAATAATCGAAGGAAGCTATTTTATTCCTTTTAGATTGAAAATTTAATTAAGAATATTTTAATATCGCTAAACATTTTTATTTTTTAAATTAAAAAATAAAACAGGAAAAGTTTATGTTCTTATTTATTTTTAGATAAATTTGAATTTTTCAAGATTAATGGAAAAATTTTGAAGATTAATGTCCTGTCCATCTGTTCTTACTTGAAATTCTAGATGATGTTTAAATTAAGAAATAGCCGTGAGAGTTTTATTTACTATCGTACATAAGGAAACTACTTCAAACACGAGTTCGTAGAAATTCCTAAGAAAATGACTGTCTTCTTCTTTTTTTTTTGATAGCAAAAAAAGAAAACAACATTCTAAACAACCAAGTTATTTTCTTTGTAATTAACTCCTTCATAATTACATTCCAGAGTTTACTAATTTTCCTGACTATTTGTTTTATTTTTACTAAGTTTTTACTTTTTTAATTTGTTCATGTTTTCGTTTTTATTTCATAACTTCTATATATATTAAAACATCGTGGGTATTTGTATTAATAATTAAAAAAAAACCCAGTATTTTAAATAAGTATTCCTGTTTGAATTGATTAAAAATAAACTAAAAATGGCAAAATTTTTTGGGCTACAATTTGAATAAATTGTAGACCTATAAATTCCCACTGTCTTCCGTCTGTTTGTCTATCTGTTTATCCATCTTTAATCTCGAGAACGGTATTAGATAGATGAAAACGAAGACCCGATATGAAAAGTACAGAGATAGGAGGCTTCGAGTAATTATATATTAACTTCCGGTAGAGACCGAAATTCACGTGGTTTCAATTCAAAAAATTTTCCCCCGAATAGAGTTACATACATGACCGACATGACTATGTTGTTGTAAGGAAAAGTATGATGTACGGGGGAAGACACTATTAAAGATAGAAAATATATTGTAAATGAAATAAATTAAAAATTCCAACCCGGCTCGTTAATTATAAGATAAAACTATGATAGATATAAGATTAAATTATAACTCTATTATAAGCTATAATATATAATATAACATAAATATATATTATACATTAACATTATTATATATAATATATACTTATCTAAATATATAAAATTGCTTGTCCTGACTGACTCACTCATTCATTCACTGATTCATCATCGCCCAGAGCAAACCGCTTAACCTAAAGAGGTGAAATTTGGTACACAGTTAGGGTACGTCATGGAAACGCACACTAAGAAAGGATTTTTCGAAATTCCAACGCGGGGGGGTGAGGGGGAGCATTAAGTCTTAACCGGAAAAACGGCTTCTACTGCGCTATTTTAGATGCGATTTTNTATCTTATCCTTGTTGACAGCTTGTATATCGAAAGAAAATTAAAATTGGATTTTCTGACTTAAAGCTGAAAAATCTCATTTTTTTTTTATATAATGGAAAATAGACTTGAGTAGAATAATATTATATATTATGATACATATTCTAAATCAGTTGTAAGACTTGTGCTTATATATTCATCAGAAACTGTAAAGACATGTCATAAATACAACTAGACATTACGAAAAATAATAAAATAGGACAAGGTTGAAATAAAAAAAAAATCTACATACTGTACAGTACATATGAGTAATAATGTAAGATAAAACAATAAATGAATTAGATTTAGAAAATATAATTTTTTAAATTTAAATTATGATAATTAAAAGAAGTTATAATTTAAAGTGTTTCCTCTATTTTGCAGCATTTTTAAAGTTATAATAGAGTTTAACAAATTTTCTAAACATATTTTTATATTGATCAGTTTGTTTTATATAATAAACAGGATTAAAACAGGATAAAATTGAGATTTTCATGAATTTTAGAATTATGGGATTATTTTTGTTAAAGAAATTATAAATAATGAAGAAATTTACAATAGATTTTACAAGTTTAATATATTAAATCACTCAAGAAATTGTTGTAAAGATTAAACTGCTCTCGTTTAAATATTTTTACTTATAAACCCTAAAGCTCACCAGTGACCAAGTATATATAAAACCCTAAACACTTGTAGTTGGTAACGGGCTTGTACCTCACCAATACTGGCTGTATGGTGTTTTCAGGGTTTTATTCGCGTGTCTGACGCCTAAATAGAGATAAATTTTTCTTGAAAGACTTATGCCATGAATCCAATACTTTATAAACTCTATAAACATTATCTTAAATGGTATTTTTCTTATACAATATACAAATTAACTTTGAGTGTCATAAATATCGATGATTTTCGTGTTTGCATAAGATCCTACATTTAAAAAATCTGTAATATTTTATAGTGTGTGGATTCATCTTCAACAGCACGGAACGATCAAATGGCTCATTTACTTCACCGAATTGGCCTGGATATTATCCAAGGGATACCGAATGTCATTATTTCTTTTATGGAAAGTCAAACGAACGCGTTCATATCACATTTGCTTATTTTGATGTGGAAGGAGTTACACCGTAAGAATTTTTATTAACGTTTTTCTTTTATACATATCAGATCTACGTAACCTTTAAAATATTGTTAAATTACGCTTATAATTAATAAAATGTGGAAGTATTAATTATATATTATTAAATATGTATATAATATCTACTGTTGTGTATGTAAAACATCTTAGTAGAATACACAATACGCCTTCGCTTTACGACGGTGCAATCCTCACTTTTATCACTTGTATAAGTTTTCTATTAAAACTATATTAAACGTATAAGTGTAATTAGTTTAAGTATAAGTATTAGTTACTTGAAATAGGCTTTTAATATGTAATTCGTATAAGGGGATTTTTGTATACTATGCATAATTATATCATAAGAAATTTAAAATCTGAAAGCTATCATTTAATATATTCTTATTAAATTTAAAGAATTTCTTTTAATTAATAAGCTAAAATTATTAATACTAATTTTATAATATTACTTTCAGATGTACAACCGAGACAGCCAGTGATTACGTAGAGTTTTCTAACTTCAGAACAGTTGACAGAAAAATCCCTAGACATTGCGGTTTAAAAAAGCCTAGAGTAATTGAGTCGGAAGGAGATTTTTTTAGAGTAACTTTTAAATCAAATGACAGATTTGACGGAACTGGATTTGAAGCTTTTTACCAATTTAGAAATTATTCTGGTAAGTACTCGAAAATCGATTATAAGTTACTCAAATTGCTTTCATTATCATAACAAATTCTACTAAATTATCATCATCTGTGATTTTTTTTTAAAGTTAGAAAAAAAAGGGGAGGAAAAACTCAAAAAAATATTTATCAATGTTTGAAGCGAATAATCTAATTTAACTCTTTTTCCGCGGTTGTGTTACATTCGATCGAATTCGACGACACACGTTTACAAACAAAGAAAGTGCCTGAAAGTTTTTATAACATTACTTATTGATCGAATACATTTTCCCTTTGTCACAGTTTATTTAATTACAAACTTTACTTTCTGTTTTAAATTAAACTATACAAAATTTCAAAAAAAAAAAAATCACTTAGCATTTTAAATTTAGAATATGGAATTTTACTGAAAAATTTTTATTAAAAAAAAAAAAAGTATTACAGGATTCTTCTTTAAATTTCAAAAAATTTTTTTTTTATATTTAAAGCTTATACTGTGATAGAAATATATTTAATTTTTCGTTTTTACATAAAGTATTTCATAAAAATTATCTGAGATTTAGTAAATTTTATTCAATCATTTATTATTATATCGAAAAATAAAAAGCTATGAGGAAATTTTGAGAAATTTTTAATCAATGATTATTACGTATTAATTTTCTATTAATGATTAATTATGGTATGGTAATTTTTTAAAAATTCTACAGGCTTTAAGCCTGGTTTTATATCTATTGTGAAGTAAGGCCTCGCCCACAATGGCGAAACTATTGGTAAGGGGTGAGATTTTACATATACAAATGAAACTATTCATTACATTCTTACATTCAAGATATCACAATGTCAATTTTTAGTTGTTTAATAATAATAATATATATAAAAATATTTTACATAACTTCATATAAACGATATCTGTACAGTAACTTTAACATTTATTTAATGATTAACAGTTTACAAAGAAAAAATAAAACAAGATGCTTAGTTAATAAAATTAAACTAATTACTTTAATTAGGAAATAAATTATGTGATTTAATTATCCGTTTTGTAGAGTTACAAACACTTGTCTGTAATTTAGGAGTAAACTTAAAGTTTACTTGAATTTAACTTTTTTTTAATTGTGATTTTATAAATAAATAATACAGAGATGATCGAGTTACAGAGAAAAATCTTTATTTCAAATTATTCACAGTCTTGAGTCAACAACAAAACAATTCAGACTATTTGTTTTGTTTCGTATTGCAGTTGGCATTACACAAATAGGAGCGCTTCTTGTGTTCAAAATCATTCATGTTTGAAAAATAACTTTGAAATAAAATAATGAATTTGAAATGTTAGTTAAATAAACGTCACTTGTTTTTAAGCTAAACTGTATTACTTTATAATATAGTCAGCACAGAGAAAGAATAGACATGAGTTAGCCAGAGTTGAAAGGGTCTATGCTAGATGAAAGGGATGCAAGAAGACATGTGGCTAACCTCTTGGGAATTAGCACACGGATCTGATCTCTTTCAGCTGTTTTGTTTTCTCACATTTCTAAAATGCTTTTATACTATCTTTATTATAATTTTTTTTTACAAATTTTATTACTTATTCATAATTCTAATGTTAATCATACGTTAATCACGTGTTTCCTTTCATCCCTTTCAACTGACATAGACCCTTTTAGCTCAGGCTAATTGGGCTACAATTTTTTTTCAAAGTGTAGACCTGTAAATCGTCCGTCCGTCTGTCTGTTTTTCCTTATCCTCGAGAACGAAGTTAGATAGATGAAATTCGAGATTAGATATGAAAAGCTTAGGGCTAATAAAAAAAAAAAACTATGATTTACAGGGACAAGACACTACTAATTTGAGATAGAGACCATTTCAGCCTGGCATTGTGACTATGTCACAATAAATATTTGCTCGTTCATATTTTCTCTTTCTCTGCGCGTAATATAGTTAGTGTTGAAATAGTATATTTGAAATAAAGATTTTTTTCTGTAAATCAATTATCTTTGAGAATTGAACAAGAGTACATTAATATTTTATTGTAAATTGTGAAAATCTTTAGAGTACTTAGCCGAATTTGTTGCAATTTGAATGTGTAATATCTCCATTATCGATAGAAAACTATAAGAAAGAGAATATTTAGAGACTGCTGTATATTTTATTCAGATATTCTTATATACGTAATAGTAATTACGATATAATTACACTAACACTTTTAGATAATAATTACAGAATACAATTATACATCTGCATTATAGTAAATTCTATAATTATATTAAAGTTTATATAGATTTATGTATAAATAAATAAGCTAAATCGTTATAACGTACAATATTTAGAGTTTAACAATTATTGGATTTTAACAAATAGAAAACTATATAATTAAAAATACAAATTCGTTCTGATAAATAAATATTTCTCTGAGAAGTGTATGATTCTTTATTTAAGAACTAAATATATATTAATTTTTCAGTAGGTCAACAAAGTATTTTTTTTATGTATTTTGTATATAAATAAATTTTTCATAATATTATTGACTTGAAATACTTTTTCACATAAATTTTCAGTAAAATCTTTTCCTTTCATCTTGAATAATGTAATGTAAACTTAAGTAACTAACCACAAATGGAAACCATTCAACCATATTACACTTTATTGATGTTAATAGCTAATTTCAAAACTTCTTTAATGTTCTTTAATCATGTAAAATTGATTGTACAGCATTAGAAGAACACACAAAGCACTTTCCTCAACAAAAATATATATATACCGAAACATAATGTATTTTATAAACATAAACAACCGATAAACAATATAAATTACTTACATTTTCTAATATATTTTTTTAATTTTTAGATTTAATAATAAAACTAAATTATATCAAAAGTTCTTGAATTAAGATTATGAATATTGTGTATTTAAGAAAAATCTAAACCAAAACTTCCTTACCTTATTTACTTATTATCCTTTTCTAAAGTTAAATTTAATTAGATCCTTCTTCGATCCCTTTCTATACTGATACACAATAAAAATAAACAGATAGAAAATTTTAAAAAATTAAATAGAAATTAATACTACTTTTTTAATTCAAAGCTTTATCAATTATTATTATTTTGTTATACAGTATTTTTAAATATAATAGAAATAAATGTAAGTTAAGCTACATTTCCTATTACTCTCATCATTTTTCCACTGAATCTCACATATCATATAACATTAATGGCTTTCTCTGTTTAGTTAAAAGAATAAAAAAAAAACAACTCGAATATTACTTTTATTAACTAATTATTTTCTTATTTTACACACAAATTAAATTAACTGTTCAGTTATTTCGCCGATTCCAATATAAAAATTAAAACTTAAGATCATAAAAAAAAAAATCATTTTTATTACTGATGTATGTATTAAAATATTTTCTTTATTAAGCTATTATTATTAACACTCAAATAGAATAGAATTTCTCAGTTTAAAGTCTTACAAAGATACAGAAAAAGTTACAAAATAATTTTTCTGATAGAAAACAAACATTATAACTTTTCGTATTTCTCCGCCATTTTCTTTTTCTTTTTTTCTTAAGAATTTTAGTATAGAAATAGTAAACGAATATTTTATCTCTGTATGAAAATTGAAGATAGTGACGATAAACCATACTAGAAATATCTTTAGTATATCGTTACCATCTTCAAGTCTCATAAACGTTACGAGTTAATAGATCGATGCTTTTCTATTATCGAAAGCAATAATATATTTAATCGATTTTTGCATGAATAAAATATTTTATATTATTATTTATGATATCGAATGATATAACAGAAATATAAAATCACTTCAGGTAATAACGTATCTTTTACAAGTGAATCTGACATTTCATCCCGCATCGAAACGATAGCATTGATGAAAAAGATCTAAATAGATTGTTGAAAGAAACGAGATCTTTAATCATAGAAAAAGTTGGAAAATTTAAGAATAATATTTTATGAAATTCCTTATAAAACTTTGAAAATTAATATAGGCCTACGTGAAGTTAGAAACTAAAGAATCTAAAAGGATGAATGAATAAATAAAATACTAACTATTTCTTATCTATTTTTAGGAAACTCGAAAATTTATTATATTAAATAGGTCATTTGATTAAAGGAAATAGAATAATTTATAAATGTACAGAAGATAGGAAATGAGATAAATAATCCGAAATAAAATGTAGCCAATTTCTTGTAAAATATTCTTCAACGAATGTAATAATGTTTGCTGTTCTGAATACAAAATTTAAGTTTCACATAAAGACAAATACATCATGTCTTTCCTTTTAGTTGCTAATTCACGTACACGACGTACTTCTGGTTCTTCTTTTCTTTTCCGTTTTGAAATTGTTTGTTAAAACATTTATATACTTTGTGAGAAAGAACATATTAAAGTATTTTTTTTAGAGGTTTAACAAATTTCTTTATTTAAAAATTTTAAAGTGTAATTTCATATCTTCCAAATCTACTTTACATTGTATTGTGATTTACTTCTTCAATAATTTGGAAATTTCATTTCGTTTAGGTTTTTATTGTTTTTTTTATTAACATTTTCAACTTTCAAAATTAAAATTTGTTATGAATCTAATCTAGTTGTAGTAATTCCCTGTGAGCAATAGTTATTCAACACGCAAAGTGTAAATTTTATATTAGACATGTTACGTAAAGAAAGTGAAATATAAATTCTTTATTAAGTCGTAGTAATCGTTATACATAATGAAATTAAATATTTAAAAAAAAAATTGAATATTTTATTCAAGTATTTCTTTCTTTCTAAGTTAATTAAATTTCAATAGAAAGGGATCTAATACAAATTTCTCAGTTTTTATCCTAGTGATGCGGATAAAGAAGGCTCCTCGTTTAATATCCGTTTACAGTTTCAATCTAAAATACTTTATATATTAATTAAACGTAATTTACTTTACAGATCCATTTACAATCAAGAGAATAAGAGGTCGAGCCGGAATGCCTACAAGTACGTTTCAATATTTAAAAATTTATTTTAATACATTACAATTTATCTTTATAGAATTAAACAACATATATTAATATATTAATTATATTTATATTTTCAAATTGTAGGGACTGGAAGTTGGGATCACGTAACGACGATCCTTTTCATAATTATAACGATACTCCTATGTTGTTAGTAACAATTGAACTGAATTTATCAGCACGTATAATGTTTTGCTCCGGGCGAAATTCGTGCATCAAAGGTGATGCTCACCGATCACTTCTTGGACAATTCATGTGCTTCCCGGTTTGCACGTGCCAAAGGATTGTACTAATTCGGACGATTGTTTTTTGTTAGTGAAAGATCCGGAGTTGTTTTTTTATCTACAGAAATTTCATGTATCCTTGGGGAGAAACCATAAATCCTCAATCGTGCGTTTCATACGAAAAACAAAATAATAATAATAAAGAATTTTTTCCAAATGTTATATGAAAAAAAAAATTAAAAAAAAAAGAAAAACTGATTGTTTAGTGAACTGAGAGAATGACGTGAAATAAATAATCTAAATGGTTCAGTGCCTTCTGGCCTAAAAGAAATGCTGTATAGGTACCGGATGAATAAAGAGTTGTTTTCCAAACTGTTTGAAAATTTATTATAAATTCAAAAATAAATTATTTAAATAATATATAGAAAATTTACTTTATAACTTTTAAGAAATTAAATATTTATAAATATAAATATAAGCGTTTAAAATAAATATTTGAAAGAGAAACTAATAATTTAGAATTTAAAATAAAATATCTTTTATGTTATTAAAAGATTTATTAAAGAATTCGACAATAATGGAAACTAGCTGATTCTTATTTTAAATTCTAAAGAATTTTTCCTTATTTTTCCGATGTATTTATTTTTTTACAATAGCAATAACATTATTACAACTATTAAAATATTTAAATTTAAGTGGAATGTGTTTTTTTTTTCCTATAAAATAATACAATAAAATTTTGTAAATGTACATAGTGAAAAGTATTAAATCTGCCGAAAATATTGAAAATATTTTTATTTATAATTATTCGATTGCTTAAGTTTTTCTTGTAGTTTTTCTTTACTTATTCTTCTTGTAGTTTCTTATCTTTTATTTTTCTTGCATAAATTCTGAAATTCATAAAGTTTTTGTGAATTTCGTATTATAAAGTTGACTATTGTCAATTTAATATGTTGACGTACAGGCGTATAGTGTCAAAAGCGTCCAACTCCACTTATGTGTCTCAACATAAGGGATGTGAATATCAATATTTTGAAACTAATCTCCAATTTTAATTTCCCTTTTTATTCTTTCTTTCTATTTTATGGCTACTATAGAAATTTATATCAGTCATTATTGAAAAGAGAAGATAAATACATAAGATGAAGTGCTTACAAGTTAGCTAATTTTTTTTTTTAAGTTGGAGTTAGCCATTTTTGAAACTATACATTTCAATTTTCACGTTCAAAAAAATTAATTATTTTGAGAGATTTGATACACAGCATCCGTTAAATAAACATTACATTATAATCTGTTCCTAGATTGACTTTTGTATTAGTATTTATTATGGTAATAGAAGAAAATGGAGGTACAAGTAAGACTTCTCCATGTAAAGAATATATAAAAAGAGAAAAGTAAGGTCCAACAATACATTTTTACGGAATGAATAGAGAAAAACCCATTTTTTTTTCTTATGCTAGTTGACCCATTGCATACAATCCTGTCTATAATTGGTGACCTTATAATTTAAAATGTAAGATTTTTTGACATGTCTCACGTTTAAATAAAATACTATTTGATATAATAAGAAATGAAGACAAAGATAAATAAAATAGTAATAATTTTTTATAAAATTAACAAAAAAAAATTATATATTTTATCTTCATATCTTTTTTCAAAGTGCGTTAAAATTGGATCCACGAAAAAAAAGAAGAAAAATACATTACTGGTGAAAATTGTTAGTGAATACCTTTAGGTAAAAATTGATAAAAGATAAACAATATAATTTATTAAAACGAAATTAAATATTAAATAAATTATATATTCTATTTAATTACACAAAAATAAACATAACTTACTTTATAATTGGATATAAAAAAAAACAAAATATATAAAAGTATTCAATTAGAATAATTAAAAAACAACATTCTGTATGCGTAACCGATATTGTTTAAGTTATTTTTCAAATATTTTCTGTTAATAAAGGATGAAATAAATTGATTTGATTTTATGCCATGAGGATATTTTGTTATCTTAACGCAAAATTTAATTAACTGTCTCTCTAAATTAATTTGATTGTATTTTATATTATTGATTTTTATTGAACGGTGTANATAATTATTCGATTGCTTAAGTTTTTCTTGTAGTTTTTCTTTACTTATTCTTCTTGTAGTTTCTTATCTTTTATTTTTCTTGCATAAATTCTGAAATTCATAAAGTTTTTGTGAATTTCGTATTATAAAGTTGACTATTGTCAATTTAATATGTTGACGTACAGGCGTATAGTGTCAAAAGCGTCCAACTCCACTTATGTGTCTCAACATAAGGGATGTGAATATCAATATTTTGAAACTAATCTCCAATTTTAATTTCCCTTTTTATTCTTTCTTTCTATTTTATGGCTACTATAGAAATTTATATCAGTCATTATTGAAAAGAGAAGATAAATACATAAGATGAAGTGCTTACAAGTTAGCTAATTTTTTTTTTTAAGTTGGAGTTAGCCATTTTTGAAACTATACATTTCAATTTTCACGTTCAAAAAAATTAATTATTTTGAGAGATTTGATACACAGCATCCGTTAAATAAACATTACATTATAATCTGTTCCTAGATTGACTTTTGTATTAGTATTTATTATGGTAATAGAAGAAAATGGAGGTACAAGTAAGACTTCTCCATGTAAAGAATATATAAAAAGAGAAAAGTAAGGTCCAACAATACATTTTTACGGAATGAATAGAGAAAAACCCATTTTTTTTTCTTATGCTAGTTGACCCATTGCATACAATCCTGTCTATAATTGGTGACCTTATAATTTAAAATGTAAGATTTTTTGACATGTCTCACGTTTAAATAAAATACTATTTGATATAATAAGAAATGAAGACAAAGATAAATAAAATAGTAATTAATTTTTTATAAAATTAACAAAAAAAAAAATTATATATTTTATTTAATTACACAAAAATAAACATAAACTTACTTTATAATTGGATATAAAAAAAAACAAAATATATAAAAGTATTCAATTAGAATAATTAAAAAACAACATTCTGTATGCGTAACCGATATTGTTTAAGTTATTTTTCAAATATTTTCTGTTAATAAAGGATGAAATAAATTGATTTGATTTTATGCCATGAGGATATTTTGTTATCTTAACGCAAAATTTAATTAACTGTCTCTCTAAATTAATTTGATTGTATTTTATATTATTGATTTTTATTGAACGGTGTAACGTGTTTTTTTGAATTTTATAATTAGCAAATATATATATTATTACATTGTATGTTGTCATTACAATTTAATAAAAATGAATCGCAAAACTGATACTTCGTTTTGCTCTATATTCAGGAAATAAAAAGATATTTACAAAAAGAACAAGTAAATGTTTTGGATGATGATTTTTATAGATGCAAAACATGGAATGGAGAGTAATCAATTACAGAATTTGGAACGATAAGAGTTTTTAGAATAATAAAGAATGAACATAACTCATTTCCAATTGAGCCTACGTGTGAATTCTTTAAAATTACAACAATATGAAAGATAAAGCACAGAATTATTAAATTTACAGGAAAAATAAAAGTGACAGATAAATAAAGGATCAAAGTTCTGCAGTGAAAGATGATCTCGGTTAGCACCCGAAGAGTATAAAATTTGAATTTATAGGTCTATTGCCTTGTGAGATGTGAATAAATGCAAAGAGACTTTTCAAATTTGTACAGAATATGAACTCACTTGTAGCAAATAAGTAGTATAACTGTGACATACAAACAACTAGGAGGTTTCACACGGTTTTCCAACGTTTAGCTTGCTGCACGATCTGCAGCACTGGATACTCGAGAGGAGACATGTTTTGTTTTTGTTCACTGATGAATCCTGTATTTGCCTAGGTCGGAATGATGCTAAATGGTAATTTGGAAGAGATATTATCAGCTCGATGTTGATGTCTTCATTAGGAATCATTAATGGTCGAATATCTAGCATAATGTTGTAAGGCGGCATTGTGTATAGTACACGGATAGCTTTCTCTCAGAACATTAATTTGACAACATGGCGTTATGTTGATTTAATTGTGAACTTTTGATATGACCGTTTCGAAAAATAATTACGGTACAGCCTTCCAGCACTTGTGGCACTATTGCTATCAATAGACGGCGTGATGTGGACGTGTTTCATGCCTTGAAGCATGTATTGACTTATCGCTGATTGACTGTTTACGGAATTTCATTGAGATCCCCTGTTTTCCGATTGAGTTTTGCAAGTCAAATAAATGGTTCATGATATCATATACCTCAACAAACGATCGACTGCCTTGGTAGTATTTGGCGATATACAAGGTGGTCCATTTATAATGTCCCTGTCAAATTTCTGATAAAATATGCATCTAATTAAAAATTGATCAAAATAAAACTCATTTATTCTCCAGAAGTTTTTTTTTCAATTCCTTAAAAATTAAATCGTCTTGGGAGAGGGGCAATTTTACAGTTTTAAATGGAGTCCCCCTTTTTAAAATTTTTGAAACCTCCATATAAAAATAATAAACATTATTTTTTTCCAAAAATGGTCATTTCAAAAGTCGTATTTTCAAAAAGTAAGTTTTAAAAAAACGCTTTTTACAATCTAATTTATTGTAACTAAGACATTTAAATGTCTTAATGATCAATACTTAGATAATTACATAATCAATTATGTAACGGAGATAAAAACTTAAATAATTTTCTTCCAGAATTTTTTGATAAAGTGCAAATTTTTCGATGTAATCGTCTTTAAAGAAGGAATATTTGTTTCGTCCCCCAAAAAACTATTATTTTCATTTGTATTTATGAAATTTCTAATGATTAAAAGATGTCAAAATAGCAATTTTGTTAAATAATTTGATTTCTCATATTTAATAAATCAAATAATTTGAAATAATATAAATAATGAACCGCAGTGTAGTGGCATGCATTGATGCTCATGGTTAGTACACTCGTTGTTTGATAAATACTGGTGATTCCCGGTTCGAATCTGAATCGTGAATCACGAGAAATTTTCATATATATATTATACATAGTACAACTGTACATATTCCGACTGGTTGGACTCGGCTCACGGTCTATAGGTTAGAGATCGCAGCTATTTTCTCTACTTTATACATTAAAAATCTTGATTTAGGAAAAAAGAATTGTTTTAAATAAGTTTCAAATCACTTTCTAATCACTCAGTTTAATCCATTT